CATGAAACAGGTTGCTACGTGACAGGGTGCAAGCAGATTTGAAATCTGTCCAGAACAAGTGGCTTGAGTAAGCTCAGGAAGTTACAACAGGAGATGCTAGATGGTGACCTATAAAATGAACCGTGTTTTGTGTCTAATACACTTCGGTGTTCTACTTCATCCCCGACTGGGTTGTCAGTGGCAGAGAGCAGAAGTGAAGCAGCGTTACAACAGTGGCGACGCGAGTTTCGGTCGAACCCGGAAATGGAAGCCAGTTTCGAAAAAGCGCAAGCACTTTTGCAGCAGCAGTCCAAGATGATTGAGATGTTGACGCAGAAGCTGTCGATACACTCAAGCACAAGTTTAAGGGCAAGTAAAAGTGACCCCTTTCCAGAAACCGTGACTCAACAGATCAGCAAATTCCATTATTATACGGATGATGACGTGACATTCGCTTCCTGATTTCACAAGTATGAAGACATGTTGCATGTTGACTTCGCAAATGTACCAGAAAAGAAAATTCGCCTGATGTTCCGGAAGCTGAGTGCTGCTGAACATGAAAATTTTGATTGTTTCATCTTGCCAAAGAAGAGCACTGATCTATCCCTGGACGAGGTTGCCTCAGTCTTGTCACAAATGTTTGATCAGCAGACACCCTTGCTCAACATCCGGTACAAGTGTCTCACAATGGCCAAGAAAGAAGATTGGGTCACCTACTCAAGCCGTGTAAATCGCCAGTGTGAACGTTCACAGTTTCACAAGGTGACCGGCGGTCAGAACAAGTTCATCATTTACGTTTGCGGCCTGCAAGCAGCCAAAGATGCGGACATACGTACAAGAATACTGAGCAAGATTGAGCAAAATCCTGACATCAGTTGCAGCAAGTGACCGGTGAGTGTCGGAGAATAACGAACCTGAAGCATGATACATCAATGACTCAGCAGTTGTCCAATACCAACGAGCATAATCGCATTTGTGCAGTCAACCGGACTCCACAAAAAGCATCAACTCCCGTGAGTTGGTCACATTCCAAACCTCTCCCTCCTTGGTCGTTTTGTCGAGAATGGCATTTTGCTCGACACTGTCCATTTAAGAATCACATTTGCAACCGATGCAGCAGAAGAGGTCATAAAGAGTTGTGTTGTTTGGCACGTGGGCCTACTTTGTCCAGAAAGGAACGCAACGATGTCACACCGTTCAGATGGTCCGATGGGATCAGAACGATCACTGCGACTTTCAAGGTTGATGAAGTCAACAGGTGTAAGTACACCATGGTGGAAATCAACGGCAGGCAAGTCAAGTTACAACTTGATACTGCTTCAAATACCTCTCTGATCTCTAGAGACACGTGGTGCAGTTTGGGGCGGCCGACACCCATACAAACAACCCATACGGCACAGATTGCTTCAGGTGGTATGTTAAAATTGCTTGCTGATTTGAAATGGCAAACCAATTTCCGGCGCCAACAAATGCACACAAGGTGCTTTGTGACAGATCAACTGGGGTTAGATTTGCTGGGACTGGATTGAATAGACCAGTTGAAGTTGCTCGACCAATCGGTAAACAGTATATGTCAGCAGTTGCCAGTCAAGCAAGGTACGCAGATGCCAACGATGAACCCTGAATTGCGGAACCAAAGTGTAGACCTGAAGCGACGCCACGAAACACTGTTCAAACCCGGTCTCGGACGCTGTCGCGTAGCCAGGGAGAAGCTGAACCTCAAAGCAGATGGTAGACCAGTCTTCACACCAAGAGCCCGGTGCTGTAGGTAACTCAATCTCTAGTCAGAGCCGAGATAAATGGTTTGCAAGTCGAAAGTATAATCGAACGGGTCCACCATCCAGAATGGGCGACAACGATTGTGGTGGTAAAGAAAGCGAACGGTAAGGTCCATATCTGTGCTGATTTTTCAACAGGATTGAATTCTGCGTTGGAGACGCATCAGTACCCATTGCTCGTACCAGAAGACTTGTTCTCTAAACTCAACGGTGGGAAATGCATCGCAAAACTTGCCATAGCTGACGCTTACTTGTAAGCCCCAGTTGCTGAGGAGTGCAGAACATTACTAACAGTTAATACACATCTCGGGCTTTTCCGGTACAACCGGCTGCCATTTGGGGTGAAAACCGCACCGGCCATTTTCCAGCAAATTATGGATATTCTACTGAACGATATCCCAAATACCGCGGTCTACTTGGATGATGCATTGATCATGGGCGCAAACCTGCAAGACTTGATGCTTTCAGGTTTGGGAGAAGCCGGATTTCGATTACGGGCTGACAAATGTGAGTTCATGTTATATAAGGAAAAAATCCTCTGGTTTATTATAGACCAACATGGCCGGCACCCAGATCCTGCCCATATCGAAGCTATCAAACAGATGGGGCCTATGAAAGACGCCGCAGTGCTTCGCTCATTCCTCGGTCTTGTGAGCCATTACAGTGTTTTACTACCAAGCCTGCATCAAACCAGTCCGCTGAACCAGTTTCTGTTGAAAGTTAACGTTTGGCAATGGACGAGGGAATGCAAGCAGTCCTTTGACGCACTCACTTCTGATCTACTATTGAGTCATTTCAATCCGGACTTGGAAATCATCGGTGCCTCGGTCGCTTGCAATTACGGAGGAGAGAAGGCTATTGCACACGCGGCACGGTCCCTAACGTCAACTGAGAAGAACTATAGTCAGATTAAAAAGGAATCACTCGCAATCGTTTTTGCTAAGAAGCGGTTTCACAAGATGAACAATGATTTATAAGGGGTAAAAAAGCAGGTGTTTGACAAGTCTCGTAGGGTGGTTAGAGTGGGAAAAGATAGATCAAGGGATAATGGAATCGTTGGTTCGGGCGATTACAGATTTAACTGCACTGCCCTATAAAGGGAGTTTGAAATGAGAGTGTGCGCACACAAAGCAATAAAGTGAGTGGTTATTGAGCACGTAATAAGCGAGAAAAAGTAAAAATAGCAAGGACAACGCTTACTCGTGTGCAGCTATATCGGGTCGATGGGATACAGAAATCCAGTTTCTACAGTAGCAGCCTTTATCAAATTGTGTGCAAGTGGTTTGGAGCGACTCATTCGCGAGTAGGGTTATGGCACCGTCCGCTGTCTGTTGTGAATTAGTGCCAGCATCTGATGGTCAAGGGCTAGAGCACGTAGTGCAAATGTGACAGCGTATCGTCAAGGTGCTTTTGAAAAGTGATAGAGTGGGAGCATTAATTACATGTGCCGGCATGGCGTTCCAAGGCTGTGACACTCGAAGGGAGAAATAGTTTCGCCGACATTCAAGCCGGCTGTACTGCATGACCAGCTTAAACTGATGACCTCTTAGCGGGGTATTTTGATTGAGTATCAGAAGGGAATGGCATGGGTGGTTGGGGTTTCTCAGGATCAGCTACACCATTATGAGATCGCCCCTTAGACGCCGATAACGTCCACTGTATATTTTGAGAGTTTTCAGTCTGAGTGGGTAGGGGAGGCTGGTCAAACCTCTGACGCTCTTCGTTGCTCTACGTTGTGCAGTATCGAGCGCGGTGAGATGGCGCTTGAGCCAGGGTTGCCACGCTTGAATAGCGTAATCCGCGTGCAACCTCACGTACGCACTAAGCATTTTTGGGAAGACTGAAGGGTCAAACTTCCGGAAAGCTCTGCGAAGAACGCCGAGGTACTGGGTTACTTTCTTAGCTGCCTTTTCAGTCTGCCTCAAACAACCGAGGTCCATTGAACTAGCACGCCGAGATCGCACTCGTGAGAAGCCCGCTGTAGAATTTGTGCTCCTAGGCAGTACTTGTGCATACTCTTGTGCCGTATACTGAGAACTTTGCACTTGGTGACGTTGAAATGCAGCATGTTCTAGCTGGACCATGTGTACATTTTGTCCAGGTCCTCCTGCAACGCTGTGTGATCATTCACTGCAGCTATAGCACGCCATACCTTTAGATCATCAGTAAATAGCAAACAGTTAGAAGATAGCACACTCGCGAAATCGTTTATGAAAACCAGGAACAGGCGGGGTCCACGTACCCAGCCCTGCGGCACGCCGCACTGAACTTCGCTAGATTCCGGTAGGTTGCTCCGAACCGTCACATTCAGATGACGTTGCACGAGAAAGTCTGCTATCCAGTCCAGAACAGGATCGCCGATCCCATATTTCTGGATTTTGTGGAGTAGAATGCGATGGTCTAGATGGTCGAATGCCTTTGAGAAATCCAGGTAGGCCTCGTTGACTACTACACGAGCATCCACAGATTCCGTCCAGCTTGCGCGATTTTGGCAAAATCCGTGCTGCTCCGAAACGAAAATTTTTCGTTTTCCAGGTGCCCCATCAATGCTTCAGCTACAGTGGACTCCATAATCTTGGAGATCACACGAAGTTGTGTTATCGGGTGATAATTTGTTGGCAGGCATTTACCCTCCTGAATGATCATAATCCATTGCTGTCGATATTCGTCTCAAAGAAGTGAATTCCCGTCTTTACCGCGAATCGGTTGCAAAGATGGGCGACTAGATTGTTGGCGTACGATTTCAGTATACAGTATTAACCTTCGCAACAAACCAGCCAAGCGGATGCCTTGTCTCGTCTCATCAATTCGCATCCAAAGCAGAACCATGATTGTGTGATTGCAGCCATCAAGTTCGAGTCAGAAGTCCAGCGAACCATGACTGGTAATCTAAAGTACCAGTGACAACGGACACTATTCGCGCGGAGACTTCCTGTTATACTTGAGGTTAATTGGGGTGTTGAGCCGTCAAAACAGACTTTCACCGCACCCAACTGTTACATGTGTGTCGTCTGCTAAATCGACGAGCAAAACACAGACACATACAGATCGATTGACCGATAGCTGATTCGTCCATTCTTTTTCCTTGTGCTGATTGGTTCCTTTTCGACTGATTCATCTGGTGTAACCTACAAGCTACCATTACAGTTTTTGACACGTCCCATCCGGTGTGTTCTTATTCACTTCTTGCGCGGACTAAGGGTCCTGGTGCGATCCAGCAATACGCGAGTAATACGTATCAGAATGGCGACGGTTGCTACGAGCCCTCTTGCGGGATTGTCATGTCTGTGGCCTGATGGTGCAGAAGAACCCTCTCTCCAGTCGTGGATACAGTGGAAAACATCTTTCCAACATCAACTGACTCTCTTTCCTGTGTTAAACCTCTCTATCGTGTTATCCGATACCCATTGGATTATGTTATTCCGCCAAGCCCTTGGATCAGAAGGACAACGCCATTTTGACGCTATGAACTTGATGGCTAAGACCAGTATTGTGCACGTGATTCAGTTGTTTGAGGAATTGTGGGGAATCCAACAAAGTGTGTTTTCCGCTCGTTATCAGTTTTTCAAGCTACAGCAACGATGCGGAGAAAGTGTAAATGATTTCATTGCCCGCATTCATCACGCCTATTCGCAGGTAGAGTTGGATGAGACCTCCCGACGTCTTACGACGATCAGTACACATTTGGGGATATTCGAATACACTAGACTGCCTTTCGGGATGAACTCAGCGCCGGAGATCTTCCAAAGGATAATTGACAATATCGTGCGTGACATACCGAACACTTGCGCATATCTCGATGATATCCTTATCACGGGCCGCACAGAAAAGGAGCACTTGTATACGTTGGACCGTGTGTTGCATAAACTCTCTGAACACGGTTTGCGTTTGAAACGCTCCAAATGTGCTTTCCTAGTTGATTCAGTTGACTACCTCGGTTATAGACTGGACAAGAATGGTTTACACGCGCGGAAAGATAAATTACAACCCATTATTTCTGCACCCTCACCTCGTAACGGAGCCCAGTTACGCTCGTTCGTTGGAATGCTTTCACATTATCGTCGGTTCCTACCTAATCTTGCTTCTGTTCTAGCACCACTCCACAATTTGCTGAGAAAAGATTCTAAGTGGGTATGGGGCGAGGAATAGCAACAATCATTTGCCAGGGCAAAAGGTCTCCTTGTTTCTTCACCAGTCCTGGTAAATTGCGACCCCAACAAACCCCTCATCCTACAGTGTGATGCTTCACCTTTTGGAGTCGGGGCAGTGCTGGGACATAAAGTCCACGACGGAACAGTTCGCCCTATTGCTTTCGCGCCCCGCACATTACAACCTGCTGAGAAGAATTACGCACAATTAGACAAGGAAGCACTGGCCGTAGTATTCGGAGTAAGGCGGTTCCATCAGTACTTGTGGGGCAACCAGTTTGAGATACAGACTGACCATAAACCACTGTTGTCACTTCTCGGTAAGGAACGAGGCATAGAACAACTTAACGCACCCCGAATGGTACGCTGGGCCCTCCTACTTTCTGCTTACAATTATCAAATCCGATACATTGCCGGTCCTCAAAATAATGTCGCTGATGCGCTCAGTAGATTGCCACAGATTGACCAACAGGGGGAAAGAAGTGACGCGCCCTACGGGTTTGTTCAACTTTTGCAACACCTGAATACTACACCCATATCTGGCGACATGGTTAGGAAAGCTACAGACAGAGATCCCGTTCTATCGACTGTGAAACGTATGCTGCTGCGTGGCTGGGGTTCGCGAGCCCCTGGTGATCTGCGTCCGTTTTTCAATTGTAGATTTGAGCTGAGCCTGCATGAAGGATGTATCCTACGTGGATCTCGCATCGTTATTCCATTGACTCTCAGGTCAGCTGTACTGAAAGAATTACATGATGCACATCCAGGTATTGTCCGCATGAAAGCTCTCGCCAGATCCTACTGCTGGTGGCCAGCCATTAATCGAGACATCGAAGCAATTTTGAGTACTTGTAACATGCCAAAAATATCAAAGAGATAATCCAACAGGCCCAATTCACCCCTGGCAGTTGAACGACAGCCTATGGGAACGTGTCCACGCCGATTACTTTGGCCTGATCGAAGGAAAAATGTTGCTACTTTTAGTAGATGCGTACTTCAAATGGATTGATGTGCATGTTGTTGCAAACGCTACTGCAGAAGCTACAATCAATGGCGTACGCTCTAGTCTATCTACACGTGGCATACCGAAAACATTAGTCACTGACAACGGTTCGCAATTTACGAGTGCAGCGTTCAAAAAATACCTGTAGAGCAACGGCGTTCATCGCATGACTTCCGCACCGTACCATCCAGCATCAAACAGTTTAGCTGAAAGAGCGGTCCAAACCGTGAAAGATGGTCTTCTAAAGCAGCGTAATCGCTCGTTACGAACCAAACTTGACCGATTCTTGTCCGCATATCGGATTACACCGCTAGAGTCTATCGGAAAGAGCCCTGGGGAGGCAATGTTTGGGCGTCGACTACGTACGAGGCTAGACCTACTTTTTCCAGACCCCCGTCAGACCAGGCGTTGCCAGCAACAACGTACGCATGAAAGTGGACGCGCACCAGTTAAGCCCCAGAAGTCGATAGTGGAACGCGATGTTTACACGAAACTACCACATGAGCAGTTATGGCAGCCTGGCACCGTGCTTACGAGCTCAGAAACGGAGGCCGAAATACAACTAGAGAGTGGAGAGACAGTACGCAGGCACAATGATTTCATCCGACCCCGCATCCCAGTCACACCGTACGCTGGGGAAGAGAAAGTGGTTCCAGAAGACCTGGAGGAGACAAACAAAAACCAAACGGAAGAAATCGATCAGCCGATTGCTATTCGGAAACCGCACCGCTCACCTAAGCCGATAGAACGTTAAATTTCACAACTGGCGTTCCATCTGTCAGTGAGGGGATGTTACATGTGTGTCGTCTGCTAAACCGACGAGCAAAACACAGACACATACAGATCGATTGACCGATAGCTGATTCGTCCATTCTTTTTCCTTGTACTGATTGGTTCCTTTTCGACTGATTCATCTGGTGTAACCTACAAGCTACCATTACAGTTTTGACACGTCCCATCCGGTGTGTTCTTATTCACTTCTTGCGCGGACTAAGGGTCCTGGTGCGATCCAGCAATACTCGAGTAATACGCATCACCGACAGTGTATTGACCAGATCTCAAGTCACATGAAACTGGAAAGACAGCCGACAATATATGAGTTAAGGTAGAGGTGTGTCCGACAGGCGGCGGCCCGATGCATATGAACCACAGTAGACCAGTGGGTGAGAGTGAAGTTCACGGTCAGGTGTGTGGGAAGGCACCGGATGGCTTGGTGTAACATTTCCCCCTCTGAAAATAAGTTCTACAGACACATACATGTAAAGTGCTGGGTTCACCTGAAAACGTCGGAGCGGTTTACTTGTTCGCATAGACTCCGGGGCATGATTCTGTGTACGTTTCCGTCGGCTCACTAAGACTCACAGTTTGTGGCAGTTCAAAGATGACCAGCAGGATGACGAACGGCAACTCGAAAGTAGCAGTGATTGTTTGTTCGATCCGTCGTTTGCGTAACTGATTAACGTGCCGTACGAGAGACAACGGTCCGATAGACACCTCGTACAGCACAGTGCCTCTCCTTTTTCGTACAACTGCAGGTTGCCAGGTTTGGTGGTTCGATCTTGTATCCAACACGTACACTGGCTCCCCTGGTAGAGAACTTCTGCTCACGCCTAAAACGGGTGACCGTTGCGTAACCATATGGCGTACTGCCTCAATTGGAAGACGTATCTCACGTCCGTACATGGCTTCCGCTGGGGATCTGCCGTCTGGTACAGCGGGGTTAGGCGTAGCCCGATAACAGGAACAGCTGTATGATCACATCTGTCGGTCTTTCCCCCGCAGTTTTAGGAGTAAACGTTAGAAGGCAGCCACGAATCTTTCTGCTTGCCCGTTGGACTGGAGATGCTCCGGAGGCGACCGGCAGTGCATAATACCATTATGCTGACAGAAAAGACAAAAGTCGTCGTAGCTTAACTGCGAACCAAGGTGTTTGATGAACCGAACTGTGCAAATAACTGTTGTAATTTTCCTACTGTCGTAGTTGTGTTCATGAGTTATACGTTCGACCAGTGATATAGGCATCAACCACAATCAGAAAACAATGGCCATGCACAGGATCAGCGAAATCAACATGAATTCTCTCCCAAGGCTGGCATCCAGGATTGAGTGACAAACAACACATTGTGGTGTGATGTACTAGATTTGGACTATTGGCATTTCAGTTCCATGTCGGAATCTAATGATTTTTATTTATTTTGCATTTACCACCCTATGGGTCTTGTAAAGCCAATGCTTTTTATCCCATCATACACTATTGAAATATTGCTTGGAAGTTTCGCTGCTGATGCACAACTGTGGGGAGACAATCATGGATAGCGTTGTCAATAAAATGCCAGTATACGTACCTTCTGACCAAAGCTTTCATTTGTGATATTCCGAAGTGATATAGGTGCAAATATCTGAATAACCACGCCTGCAAGGAGTTCGGAACAACCACGCACTCACCGAACATAAGGCAATCATCAACAAGTGTTAACCAGTAATGTCGACAATAAAATTGTTTAAGGTTGTGTCAGTAATCCGGTCTGGCCATTTGGTGTTTAAAAGTCGGATAACGTTTTGCAAAAGAGCTTCGAGTTTGGCGTGCTCCTGAATGTGCACAGAAGTAATCGGAAGAGCTCTGATTGAATCAAACAGAAGCTGTTTCAAGTCCGATTCAAACGCAACTGACGAGATCGCCTGGTATTCTTCTATGCTCGGCTGTTTTCCGATAAGTCGAGAAGCGGTAGCTGAAATCTACCGTAGGCACATGAGCTACGGTAACATTATAACCGAGCAACAGTGTCGCTCAGCGTTGAAGGCGATTCACCGTGTGCACAGATATACCCTTTATGAACCGAAAATGGCTAATAATGGTTTATGGTCAGTCTCCAATACGGATTCTCCACTCTGCAACATCCGATGAAACATTTTGAGATCAAAAGTTAAAGCTAGTGCCACTTTCTTGAGCTGTGAGTAGTTTCTTTCAGGATTCGTTAAAGCAGGTGATGAGTAGGCAACCGATGTCATGGTGCTAAAGTCGAGCCGCTGACGGAGAACTGCTTCGGCACCATAACTAGAGGCATCTGAGCAGACAAAGATTTTTGCTTTCGGGTCATAATGTGCCAGCATCAAGTCAGATAGAAGAGCTTCCTTAATGAGCCTAAACGCTTCCTCACATCTGAATGGTGGTAGTGAAATAAATCGTTATGCATTATACATACTTTATATGAAGTATATATGCATAAGTACATGCGTAACGATTAATTTCACTACCACATTGTTGCGATGGGTAATGGTGCGAATACTTCGTCGGGGTTGAATGAACGCTACGAGAAAATAGAACAAGATGGGTACGTGAGAAACGCTCGATCGCTCAATTGTCCGATAGAGTGTAGGCGTCGCTGTTGATGTTTACCGTAAACTTGACGGTAGTGGACGAAACAGTTGAAACTCAGTAGGCTGCGTTAGGCGCTTCTTGCAAGACAGGGTCAGGTACTTCCGTTGCAAATATGACGTTAACTTCGTGTTTGCCAAGTAACTCAATTACGATTATCGCCATTCCTCTGTTTAGCATGGTTCTCACATGGTAAGGGAACATGTCGCTGGCAAATTAAGTGGGAGCTGCAACATAGAGATGTTTTCAACACCGAATCTCGTTGGCTACTTCGCTTCAGTCGTTATAGCTTCGATATGGCGTCTATGCCCATTGTGCACAAACGGGACGGCATTATGTTAAGGTGTTCGGTCACCAGTGGATCGGTTGCAGAAGTCCAAAAGACTGGCCTACCTGGTCATCAGATTTAAATCCCTTACACTTCCAATGGAAAAGAAGAACTTACAAGAAAACGTCTATTTTACTGGAACAAGTGCAAGTCCGTATTGTCAACGAATGTCGCGCCATCAACACGGAAACTACAAAAGGTTATGGCCACAGGCGATTTCCGCAGTGCAAGCAGAATGCCGGCAGGCACGTTGAGCATCTCCGTCGTTGACGGACATATCACTGTTTTATGCTGTTTATGTTACTATACGTATTCACCATTATCACTGATTTCTGGGCTACATTGGTGCACAGGCAAATGATGCCGAAGGTGCGTCGGGCCGGAATGCATTCAACGAGTAAGACTGATTCGTCAGGGCTTAAAATGACCAATTCTATACAACTTGCTTCACAATGCCAATACTTGTTTTTTCATGGCTATGTCTATGAAATACAGAGAGGATGTGAACGAGACGGTGATGTGAGAATCGGCAACGCCGTTTAGTATTTTTATGGTGTCCATCGGCGTACACACTCTGGCGTGGGATGAATGCTTTTAAACAATAACATACCGGTCACATAAAGGGGAAAGAAAGGTGGTCAAACGATTTCTGAATAAGAATACAAACCGTGAAAGTGTGGCTTATCGATGCTTTTGAACCTGATATCCGAAGTCTGCAGCAACATGTGTCGGAAAAGTTACCACAAGGATAACTGATTTGGGATGGACAGTGTGCGTGAGAACCCACATGCGCGGGCCATGGTCTCAAGACTTGTCAATCAGATTTTGCGAGTCAATGAGATTCGCGCTTTGTGGAATACGTGAATCTCAGTATCCGTGAAGATTAGATATGGACGGGAAATGCAGCTTCTCAGTTCCATGCTAATGGAATAGTAGAAAACACGGTTGCGAAGAGATCTGTTTTCGGTAACTCATATAAGGCAAATAGCTTTACAAGGATACTTGGGATATGCATAAGCTAATGGAAGCTGAAACGAAAGTAGAAAAGTCTGAAATTATTTGGATGGAAGTCAAATTGATTGGGCCAATTGGCAAGTCTGCTTTTTGTAGAAAGTAGAAGCCACGATTAAACTTTGCACAATAATCTGCCCCGACGGGGAATCGAACTACGGACATACGGATTACCGGTCCGTGTCTGTGTTGTCGATGATGGCTGACCTTATGTGACCCCAATTGACACAGTTTGCTGATCACTTCGCGAAGCAAATTGGTTCAGCAAAGAAGTGATGCCAGATTTGGTCTCGTCAATGTTCCATGCAGATGCATCCTTATCACGGCCACGGCAGCGTGAGAGATTACAGTAGCACCCTCTGGTTGCAAAGCTCCGGTTTCGTTAACTTCATCGCTATCGATTCCGCAATCTTAAGAAGGTGTCTCTTAATCTCCTTAGGATATGGTTTTGACACGGTATAGAAAACGCTGAAACTCATCATCGATCAAATAAAGTCAGCCTTCATCGGCAACACAGGCTTTACCAATTGGTCGGATAAAGTTAAATTCCTTCCGAATAAATTCATACTCTCAACTACTTCCGTTACAGCTTTCATTAGCTTATGAGAATCCCAGTTGTGCTTGTAAACGTAGTTGCTTGATGTGAGTTACCCAAAAGAGATCTCCTTGCAACCGTGTTTTCTTACATTCTTATGGGCATAATCTTCGAGTTGAATAAGAGCATGCAGTCCGCAGATTTTGCTAACCTCAACAAATGCTTGATGTTTAACGCCAGGCTTTCGGAAACAAAGACGGAAATTAGATTTATACATGTGTGTGTGTCAACACGATCAATATGCCAGATCCTAGTGGAAATCTCTCAGGCGGTGGCATGTGCGTCCCACTGCAAAGTCTCTTAAACGACATAGTTACAATCTGATGGAAGCTGTTCAGTCCCGAATACCAGTGGTGGAGCGAGTTTGTGCACTTTACCAACCTAGTGTCAAAGAGCTTTGCACCGTTGAAGGAGATTCTTTTAAGCAATACATGAAGAAATCTGCTCAAGAGTTAAGGAAAGAAGACACTTGAAGCTTCGAAAAAAATTATATTCGGCTCAACCATTACCAAAATTTCCAACGAATCCAGGTTGATATGTATACAAGCTATCCAGTATAACACTGAATCAGCTGCAGCTTGAAACTTTATCTCTCGGATCGAACTTTTGCATCACTCAACCGACTTGCGGTCAAGTCCACCTAGAAACTCAGTTTGAAAACTTCATGCACCTACTGACTAAATTAACACCCACGTCTTTCCTTGCCCGAGACTTTTAAAACCAAATTGGTGCATATCTGTCAACAGTACCTACGTCAGGTGAACAGGTCGTCAAACATCTTGACCAAGAAATAATGAGAGGCAAGTAAAGAATTACGATCGGATCCTGATCTCATTTATCCTAGACCAGATAAAGGATCGGGATGGGTGTTAATGAACAGACCCGAGTATCTCGCCCAACTTCACGTTGTTTTGTAAAACACAAGCAAGTTCATGCGTGATACAGTCCAGAAACGCAGAAGATGAAACTAAAAGTAAGGAAGTCTTGTAGGAATTAAAACAGCTGCACGTGACAAATAACTCTATGTCTGATCGATTAACTCCTGTGGCTCTCAGCCACCCCGGCTATATGGTTTACCTAAAGTACCTAAGTCGCATATCCCCTTACGTCCTATGATTGATACATCGGATTCCACTTTGCATTCTTTTGAAAAATGGCTTGTCGAATAACTGGAACCCGTACGTAATGCACTATCCATACACTCTATACGAGATACATTTGAATTTGTGGGAAAGTTAAAAACTTGAAGGTATACGGTAAAGTGATGCTCTCATTTGATGTGGAATCACATTTCACCAACGTCCCGTTGCTAGAGATCGTCAAGTTTCTTTGCTAATACATAACCGAAAAACAAATAAATGTTGGTATTCCAGTGCCGAGACTGAAGGAACTAATCCTGCGATGAACCTTTAACAGACAGTTGCTGTTTTATGGAATTTATTATCGGCAGATTGACGGAGTTGCTATGGGTTCGCCCCGAGGACGTCCTCATCACAAAGGTTGGACGTCATCCTATCGAACCTTTTATTGCTTCACTGAATTTCTACTGCAGGTATATGGATGACACTTTCGTTCTCTGTGATTCGAGCGCTGATTTACTCGATCAAGTCAACGGTGCACACCCATCAATGAAGTTCACCAAAGAAACCGAAAAGGAAAGCTGTCGTTCCTGGACGTACTAATGGTGAAACGGGAAGACGGCTCTCTCGAGAGAAGGGTCTTCCGAAAGGATTCTTGGATTGGACAATACACACACTTTCTGAGTTTCATGCCTCTGAGGTACAAACGTAACTTAGGCCGCTGTATGCATTACCGAGTCTCCAAAATCGCAGCCAGAGACGCTAGCAGACGAGAAAGAACACATTCTTAAAACGCTGCTCTCAAACGGTTTTCCCTCCGCTTTTATCAAAAAATCACGCTGTTGTTCGTGAACGCAGTGAAGCTGTCATCACAGTTCCAAAAAAGGATGCGTTTCTCACGGTTCTGTTTAACACTAGAACGCCCGGAGCGGTCATTTTGACCGCTCAGCGTTTTTAAATGTGCACATTTTCTACATTTATGGACATTTTTCAAAGATATTTCGTGACTTTTAATATTTTTGAACGTTCTTCATTACTGTGAATTTTCGTTTTCATATCTGTTATAGTTTTCGAGAAAAGAGGTAGCTGTGTTCATACTACCTAGAAAGCCCGTTAGCGGTCAAAATGACCGCTTCTCTCTAATCCGGTTCCTCTTTTTCTTTTTAGCCACCACTATCATTTCTGACAGTTATATACTATCACAGTCAAAACGGAATCACGATTTTACTGTGATATTGTGCGTTCAGTCAGATAAATTCCAGTGACATTTTTGTACACAATGGCACTTCTGAGGAAAACACCCTTTGAGGTTTTACGAGAACTTACAACCATCGATGACAACGAGTCTGGGGACGAGAACGATTATGAAGTTGATGAGGACTCCATCTTCCATGAGTCAGCAGAAGATCACAGCATGTCTGATAGTCAAACGTCTGATGATTACACTCCATATGAGGAACTTAGAGAGAGTGTATCAACCGATTCGGTATCTCCCGGTGAGCTTCACGTATCGAAAGATGGTAGCACGTGGATCGCAGTGGAGTTCGAAACATCTACTGTTGGTAGGATTCCACCACAGAATGTGTTTAAGGCTAGACCAGGACCAACGCCCTATGCTAAGAAATGTGTGAAACATGGTGAGCTGTCGAGCACTTTTGACATCATAATCACACCCTAGATGCTGAATCATATTCATGTATGTACTGAAGCTGAGGCCAAGAGAGTTTTAGGTGTCAATTGTCAGTGGAGCGTAAGTCTTCCAGAGCTGCGGGCCTTTATTGGTCTACTTTACATCAGAGGTTTCATGGGTCTGAAGAACATGCCGTTGAATATGATGTGGTGCGATAGATATGGACTGCCTATTTTCAGGGAGACAACTGGCAAGAACAGCTTCAAAGAAATAATGAGGTTCCTCCGTTTTGACATGCAAACTACCCGATGTAAAAGATTGCTAACTGATAAGTTTGCTTTGGTATCTGAATTGTGGAATGCATTCATTCGCAACTCTCAACAATGCTATGTGCCTGCGCAGAATCTCACAGTTGATGAGCAATTGTTTCCCTCCAAAACCCGTTGTCGTTTTCTCCAGTATATGCCCAACAAACCAGATAAGTTCGGTATCAAGTTTTGGATGCTGGCAGAAGTAGACAGCAAGTATCTCGTTAATGGATTTCCATATCTCGGGAAAGACGAAACTCGGTCAAGAGGAGAAAGTCTTGCAGAGAGCGTGGTATTGCGCTTGGTGTCACCATTATTTGGAAAGGGGTACAATGGCACATGTGACAACTTCTTTACATCGGCAGCATTAGGAGAAATGCTGGCCAAGGAAAACACAAGTATGGTAGGAACACTTCTAGCTACTAGAAAGGAAGTATTATCGATTTCGAAGCAAAGAGATGGAGAGCTGTTCAGTTCACTTATGATGAGGAATAAAAATCAGCACACATTAACATCCTACCAGTGTAGAAGGAATAAGAGTGTTTTGGTTTTCAGTTCCCTGCATAGTAACTCTCCCGTTCAAGACTGGAAAGAAGAAACCCGAGACTGTGTTGTTTTACAACTCCACAAAGTATGGTGTGGATGTACTCGACCAAATGACAAGATCACTCACTGTGAAGTCATCATCTCGACGATGGCCAGTCCAAGTCTTTTTCAACGTACTGGATCTGACTGGCATAAACTCCTGGTTAATTTATAACAGTGTTTGCGGAACTAAAATATCTCGCCGGTCGTATCTGGTGGGTCTTTCGGAAGAACTGCTTACATGTATACATCACACAAGGTATGTGACAACGGGAATTACGACGAACAACTCAGCGGAGTCGGGAAGTCGCGTGAACATTAAACGTCGGCAGTGTCAGATTCGTTACTGTAAAGGTAACAAATCACAAAACAAGTGCTCTGTTTGTGAAAAAATAGTTTGCGGCTCATGTGGACAGATTGAGCGAGTTATCACTTGCTTCAAGTGCAAATTGGAGTAGGTATACGGAATTGTTTACAATTTTTGAAAAAAACCAAACCTTAATACAATCATTTTTCTGTTACAGGTATGTTCTGTACATTAGTTTTTAATAAATGTCGTGAAAAAATTCTTAACTGAAAGTTGGGATAAAATAATATAGCAGTGCGGTCATTTTGACCGGTTCCGGGCGTTCTAGGTATAACGGCGGAGCGGTCTTTCTAGTGTTAAGGGTGACATCGCTTTCGATTTACTGAACGGAAGGCTTCCCGCTGCAATGACAAGAACATACCCAGCCGCAAATCCACACGTTCTTGCTGACACTACTCCATTTAGTAGTCAGCGCCTTAATAACACAGTACCGGCTAAGTCCGAATCGTACGTGGTTATTCAATTTACTTGCACCTGTGGTGCTATGTAACTAGGACATACGACCAGGCGACTGCCAACAAGGATAGCTGAGCACCATCTCGGGTCTCTACGAAAAGACAATGCCGGAAATATCAGAAGTTCCATCCTTGAACATCTGATTCAAAGTGGACACGAAATTCTGACCAATGATGCTTTCAACGTTTTCTACACCGTGTCAAAACGAGATTAAGAGACGCCTCTTGAAGATTGCGGAATCGACAGCGATGAAGTCAACGCAACCGGAGCTTTACAAGCAGAGGATGCTACTGCAATCTCTCACGCTGCCGTGGCCGTGATAAGGATGCATCTGCATGGAACATTGATGAGACCAAATGTGGCATCACTTCTCGGCTGACCCAATTTGGTTCGCAAAGTGGTCAGCCTACATCGACAACACAGGCTTTCCCAGTTGGCGCGATCAATTTAAATTCCTTCCGAATAATTTCAGAATCTCTCCTACTTTTGTTTCAGCTTCCATTAGCTTATGCGTTTCCCAGTTGTCCTTTCTAACGTATTTGCTTGATGTGAGTTACCAAAAAATGAGATCTCTTAGTAACCGTGTTTTCATACATTCCTATGCGCATTATCTACGAGTTGAAAAGAGCAGACAGCGCACAGCATTTGTTAATCGCAACTGGAGGAATATTGCATTATCAGTGAATATGCTGGAATGAACGCTTATGTGCGGGAGGCAAACGGTGACGAGATGACTTAACAATAAAAGGCGAAAGCGCGTACGAAGCAAGAAGAGGAGGTGGAAATTCTCGATTAGAAAAAAGCTGCAAGGCGAACGACACCAACAGTCGACAGATATCACGGGGCTCCCTGGTGTAATGATCGGAGATTGAGCAACAGTGACTTTAAGAATGATCTTCCAGGGTGCGATATAACAACAAACATTTGACTCCGGCACAGTAGGGATGTAATCTTGCATATACAAAGTTATATCCACATGTCGGGGAAGACGCTAGGGCATACAAAACGTTTGGTAGGAACTCAAGCGCATGTGCGACCTAGAAAGAGGTCACGGTTGAACAAAAGAAAAGACGGCGGTGCTGGTGGCCAAGTTAGAAGACCAAGAGGGATCAGAGGGATCAGGAGCAAAGCGATGTGGAGATGCTATCCATGTTTGGGCATCCACGACTGTACACTTCAGCCCAAGACTGTTTTCGCAGTCGCTGAAGTAACGAATCCAGTTGCGAGCGATTACCTGCGTCAAGGGCATCCAAGCAGACCTAAAATAAATAAATGTGAGAAAACAACTTAATAAAACAAATCAATAACAGACGCAAACCAGAAAAAGGAAATATAAGATTGGCGTTTCCCATCAATATTTTAAGGAAATGCCACAAAGGCAAAAGTGATATCGAAGTTAACTAAAGTAGTTTAAGGGAGGTGGCAAGGATATAGAAGACAGGTAGACATTAACATGAGAAAAAGCATTAGGACAATATAGCAAACCCACCAAATGAAATAAAGAGACTCAGCATGCAAGCACGCGGTTAGTAAATCGAATGCAGCGTACCTGCAAATGCTGCGCTGGTTTTGCCTACATTCTCTGCAGGACATGTCGTCGCTTCGGTGGTTGTCCGGAATGGCCTCGCTCATGGCTCATTAGGCCTGCCTGACACAGGCACTCGCGACTGCATGTGCTACAGCACTACACGTTTGATGTCGATGGAGTACAACCCATCGGTGCTTGCCGCTTCCGCACTTGCCGCTTCTTCTCTCCATGTATGAGGTCCATTTTATGCACTTCGGCAACGGCCTTCGTGATTAGCTCGCGCCATGCACGCCGATCAATCGTCTTTGATTACCATGACCTGCAATCAAGAGTAGAAGGTGAGAGGCTCACTTCGATAATGTCCTGATAACGAAGCTTCGGTTGCCCCACATGCTGCTTCCCAACCCTCAGCTGACCGTATAAGAGTTGTTTCGGTATCCGCGTTGAATCCATACGCCACACATGGCCGAGCCAACTCAGGTGTCTCAGCAAAAGTATGCAGTTCACTGCATACATTCCAGTTTCGCGCAACACTTCCGCGTCTGCAACTCTGTCGCCTCAGCCGATGCGCAAAATCCGTCGCAAGCACTGTTGATGGAACCGTTCGAGATATCGCACATCCCACCGATACGTCGTCCATGTTCTGCTGCCTATAGAGGAACGGAGAGCACCGTAGATTTGTACACCATTAGCTTCGTGCCGACGGTAAGCTGATGGTTGTTCCAGACTCCGTACTCTAGCTTCCTGAATGCCGCTGCTGTATTCGAGACGCAGATACGCAGCTCACTGTGTAGCAGTTGGTCAGTCGACACCGCACAAGGTAGCAGAAGCTGGAGGTGGTTTCCAATATGTCATCACAAATGCTGATTCGCAGAACCATTGTAGATTGCACTTCTGGTGAAGAGACAGGCAGCTTTGTTCGTGTTGATGGTGAGCCCGTATTTGGCAGCTGTCAAAACCAGAAAACTAGTCATGTGCTGCAGCTCGTCCGCGCTGTGTGCAAACAACGCACAGTCGTCAGCAAACAGCAACATACGGATAGTTGTCTCACAGACTAGAGTTCTCGCACCGAAACGACGGATCTTCAGCAACTCACCATCAACACAGTGCTCAACACGAAACATCGTAAGCACAAGCGGCATCAAAAGCATATCATTGCATGAAGATAAATAGTAAACAGGGCAAGAGCTAAGACACAGCCTTGCTTCACACCAGAGACAACTACAAAGTCATCCGAGGTCTCTCCACTCAACGGCACCCTAGCCTGCAGACATACAATGAAACTAAAAAAACTTACTAGAACAACCATATGTACGCAACACCATCCACAATGTCTCGCGGTTCACCATATCAAATGCCTTGGTGAAATCAATAAAAAGCGAATACAACGGCTGGTGTCGTTTTCTGCACTTCTCCTGCAACTGACGAGCCGCAAACACCATATCTAAAAGGCTGCGATCCGAACGGAATCCACACAGCTCTTCTGCCGTGTTCGGTTCCACACCGCGACTGACGAGGCGGTTGAGCAAGATTCGAGCAATCACCTTGCCCACACAACTCAGCAAGTTGATGTCACTATAATTCGTAGCACATTCCTTGATTCCTTTGCCCTTGCACAGTGGCAGCACAAGTGCAGCCTTCCGCTATGGAGACATCTCTTCCTCAACCTACACGCGTTGCACCAGTGGTGCAGCGCAGCCACAAACGCCAGTCCGCCGTGTTTCAATACTTCAGGTGGGATCCCGTCGGTCCCAACACCCTTACCGTTCCGCAGCTGAGCAAGAGCTCTCTGCGTTTCATCCGGTGTCGGCGTATCCGCCAGACTCACCTTCACCTCGTGCTGCTTCAGACCGCTCAATGTAGGAAAGTAAATCTCTGAAGCGTTGTTCAAGAGATAGTCAGAGTGTTTTTGCCAGATCTGCAGTCTATATGTAGGTGGCGCCTGAAACACCATAGATCAGCGTCCTCAGCGGCTCCAATCTCGGTCCATAAACAGTCTTCGAGGAGTCAAAAAATTCCTTGTGTTGGCGACGTCCGGCGTAGCATTCCAACTGCTTCATCTTCTCCGTCCACCATGCATTTTTAATGCGACGGAGCTCGCGGGTCAGTCGTCGTCGAATTGTGCGAAACTGACTGCTCTTCCCCAAGTCACTGGGGTCTGCCACCTGCGCAGCAAATGCTGCATTCTTCCTCGACACCAATGTGCCAATCGTCGCATTATTTTCATCAAACCAATCAGGCCGCTTACAGTTTAAGCGCCCGATGGTCACCCCACCAGCAGCTGTCACTTGGTCACGAATGTGGTGCCAAAGGTCGCCCACTGTGGCTATGCGGTCCACATCACACAGGCAGGCAGCCATCGCCTCCAGCTCCATCCTCTTCTCCACAGTACCGAGGAAGAGAATGCTAAATTTACCCCGATGCACGGCAGGAGTGCAATATATAGATTTACGAAAATATATGTACAGTTTGGTCCGCAACAATTTATGATCAGTGACACACTCTGCACCACGCAGTACACGAGTCATGTGCACTTCACGCATTTCACGCTGACGTACGATGACGTAGTCGTGCAGGTGAGCGTGACCATTCCGTGAGTGCGTGCAATGCGCTATATCACTCGCACTGAGTGCAAACCGTGTTTTAGCGATCGCCAGACCGTGAGTGGCACACAGTGAGAGTAGCCTTTCACCGTTCGCATTTGCTGAACCAATGCCATGCGGACCGATGACACCTGTCCACGCTGATGCATCACGCCCAACGCGCGCGTTGAAATCACCCAGCAGAAATAGTCGGTCGCTCCTCGGCACAGACCGTATCACGGAGGATAGCTGAGTGTAGAATTGATCACGCGTGTCATCAGGATAGCACATGGTCGGAGCGTACGTGCTTATAAAGGTGGCAAACTTACCTCTTCCGAGTCGTAGGCGAACAGTCATCAGTCGCGCGCTGATGCCCGTTGGTTCACCCACCAGCTGGTCATTCAGGCGATCGGATATTGCAAATCCGACCCCATGTTCACGTGGTGCTGAGACGACGTTGCCCACCCAGTAGAATGTTTAGCCAGCACCTGCTTCATGCAACTTACCTGGCTCGGCGAGCCGAGTCTCACTGAGAGCCGCAATATCGATGCTGTAGCGCGCCAGTTCTATCGCGACCATTGCAGTGCGTCTCTCGGGGCGCTCGCTCGAGTCCCGGTCCAGTAGTGTGCGCACGTTCCAGCACCTGATGCTGAGTTGTTTGCGCGCAGGCAGACGATTGCAATCGTACGCGAGATGGTCGTTGTGCTTGGGAGGTTTGCATGAAGGATTCGACTCGGAGCCTTTGGCTCAATAGTCTGACACACAAGGCAGTGGGGGATTTGGAGGTTTGCTTAAGGCATTCCACCCGAACCTGTCGGCTTAATAGCCTGACCCACAAGACAGTAAGTGGTATGGAGGTTTGCTTGATAGGCTCCGCCCAGAGCTTATGGCTCAATAGCCTGACTCACATGGCAGTGGGGATCAGAGCCATCTCGGCAGTGTGATTGCAGAGACAGATTAGGATGAGCTTGATGACAGTCACACGCAGTGTTCGAGGTACTGGCACAATTCATATGTTATGCGACCGTAGTAGGATACGCATCTGCGACCACGGGCAGATGCAGGTGGGTTTTGGCGGATTCGCACAAATTTGACGAATGGCTGCTTGAATTGAGGCAGGCGGTAGAAAACCATTAAGCACCAGAAGGGACCCTTCCACCGTTAGAGAAAATGCGTTGCGCTCCTGCACTATGCTAATCGAGTTGATGGTTTCT